TGAGTTGTATTTTTGTTATTGACCAAATACTTATTTTCCACCCTGATTTACGAATAAATTCTTTACAAATCCTACCATGTGGATTCATGGATTTTTTTTTTTCACATTCTGTCTCTCACAGTTGAAGTGTACCTCTGGTGCAAATTACTGACCTCTGTCATCATTTTAGTGGGGGAACTTGCACAATCGGTGGCTGACTAAATACTTTTTTGCCCCACTGTTAAGTAAAATAGAGCCTCTGGACTCCATCCAATATACCTCACTTTTAGGAAATATTACTAAAGAGGAGGTAGAATGTGCGATCAGTCAGTTAAACATAAACAAAACCCCTGGTTTAGATGGGCTTCCGTCCGAATTTTATAAAGTAGTGTTTATGAAATATCCGAATTTTTAGCCACTGTTTTTAATGAAGGCATGCATGAGGGAACTTTGGGTGACTCCTTTTATAATGGATTAATGTGTTTGCTATATAAGAAAGGGGAAAGAGATAATATAAATAATTATAGACAATTGACAATAATGAATGTTGATTATAAAATATTTGCTAAAATAATTATGAATAGGTTTGAAGAGGTATTAGATAAAATTATAGAAAAAGAGCAAACATGTGCAATAAGAGGTCGTCTGATGTGGGATAACTTATGTACTCTGCGTGAAATAATTTATAGTAGAAAAGATACAGAATTTTTTATATTTAAGTCTCGACCAAAGGAAAGCCTTTGATTACATCTCCCACTCTTATTTGTGGGAAGTAATGAAAGCGTATAATATGCCTGAAACCTTCATCTCTATGATTAAAGTATTATATAAAAAATCCCTTGTCCAGATTAAGGTAAACGGCAGACTGACCGAACCCTTCCATGTCGAATGTGGAGTGAAAGAAGGATGTCCTTTATATTTCATGATCTTGAAAACCATTCCTCTTGTTTTATTACTTCTTCCTCTGGCACCAAAGACAACACCTCAACATGTGAACTTGAAGCCTTTTCCACAGTGCCTTTAAATCCACCAAATACTGCTTAATTTGAGAAAGATTTTCATTGTGTTGCATGAGCGCTTTCATTTTTTGTATTAGTCCTTTCATTTTATTGACATATTTTGCATTCATTTTGTAATTTTTCGATTTTATTCAACAATGCCTTTCCAGTCATTTTTCTTTCTCTCTTTCCCCCCAAATCATTAGAGGAACAATCATCACCACCTGTTTGACTCATGATTTTCCCGTTTGTTTGTTCGATTTTGTTATTTTTTTTATTTATTTTAATCTTCAGTGATCATCCATTAAAACATATATCCACTGGAAGCCACAATAGACTTTGACCATAAAATCCTTTCAACGTAACGGCACTTTAATTGTCCATTTGAACGTCATCCAAGCAGCATAATTAATAAGACGCAGCGCAGACATCATTCCAAGAGCGCAGCCAAAAACGTTGCACATTTAACCAACATTCATTCCATTCAGTGTCTCCTCTTGAACATCTCAGCGCTAATGCAATGTGGCTTCCTTTTCCACAACCAGACATGCACAGGTATTCAGAATCAGAACTACTTTATTAATGCCCTGGGGAGAATTATTATTCTCTTTGTTACAGAATGCTAGTCAATTTTAAAACCACATCATTAACAGACGAAGAACAGACAATAGCTCCTAACTAAGAATGAACGTAATACGTACTCTAGGCCAACTATTATACATATATACACATACATACTTCACTCATAAATAAATAGTTGGAAAAGAAACATGTGTAGCTGTAGCAGCAAACAGTGTGTTAAGTGGATGCGTTGTACAGGGAGATGGCCACAGGCAGGAATGATTTCCTGTGTCGTTCAGTGGTGCTTTTTGGTAATCTCAGTCTCTCACTGAACGTGCTCCTGTGACTGACCAGCATGTCATGGAGTGGGTGGGAGGTGTTATCCAACATAGTCTTTATCTTGGACAGCATCCGCCTCTCCGACACCACCTTGAGGGTGTCAAGCTCCATCCCCACAACATTACTGGCCTTACGGATTAGTTTATTAAGTCTGTTGGCATCTGCGACCCTCAGCCTGCTCCCCCAGCATGCAACAGCATAGAGGATCGCACTGGCCACAACAGACTCATAGAAAATCCTGAGCATTTTCTGGCAGATGTTGAAGGACCTCAGTCGCCTCAAAAAATAGAGACGACTCTGGCCCTTCCTGTAAAGTGCTGTGGTGTTTTTAGCCCAGTCCAGTTTATTGTCAATGTGTACTCCAAGGTATTTATAGTCCTCCACAATGTCAACACTGACCCCCTGGATTGAAACAGGGGTCAAGTGTTTCCTGGTCTTCCTGAAGTCCACGATCAGTTCCTTGGTCTTTGCCACGTATTTAAGAGCTTTCTTCTGTGATTGTATTATTTTAGTCATGTTTGTAGTGATCTATAATTATTATTAGTCTGAACTTCTTTAACCTGCTCAGCTGTCTTGTTTTTAAGTTTTAGTGCAAGTACAAACAATGAGAATGTTTATGCTCTTAGTACACAGATTTCTGTTTTTACAGCAGGTTTATAAAACAAAGGTTTGGGTGATAACTTTACAATTTAAGTCAGTCAGATTTGTATTCATGTAGTAAAACAGCTAAATGTGTTGCACACACTGACTAACAGGCCCACTTCAGTTCTAGTGTGAACATAAGTTTGACACCTATGGATTAAATATTTAGTTTCATTACTTTAATCAAGAGTACTCTAAGAGGTTGTGAGTGGCTCTTAAAAGATCCGTTAGTTGGTTGAGGACAGTCGCTGGATTTTCTTTAGCTTTCTCAGTCTTCTTGGCCTGGATGTTGGGCAGCACACCACCCTGAGCTATCGTCACTCAGCCCAGCAGCTTGTTCAGCTCTTCGTCGCTGCGGACAGCCAGCTGCAGGTGGCGGGGGACGATCCTGCCTACATATGCTATTCTACATGCTTTTAAACCATTTAAAATTACAGCTCATAGTTTTATATGTGAATTATATAATGCTAAATTACTATTAAACAAACAGACAAGTATTTTAGACTTTAGTTTACTTCAGCCATATTCCATATAAAAATAGAGCCATAACAAAAGAATATGACTTTACGGACTTAACAACATTACTTCAGTTATAGTACACCAACATCTGTTATATTTTGGCACTAAGGGAACACTTATTGACCTGGTGGTTTTTGTCCATAAAACTACTCATCTAAGATTACCACAAAGTAAAAGATCTCTCAGCAAAATTATGCAATATTTTAGGCACTACTGCCCCGATCAAATCAGTCAGCTGGGATTTTTTTTTCTTCTAAACATGAACTACAGTTACAGAAACAGACATGGACTACTGGTGCCCCACACAACAACTCAATGTCCACTATGTGAAGCAGCCAAACACATGCCTTCTCCTCTCAGTAACTGAGATAAACTGGTGGCATATTGGTTTTACATATTTACTGTCCAGTCTCTCCTGGTGGACATGGCATACAGCAGCATTGTTTAATCTCATTTGAGTCATTGTTACTATGTGCATATTAGTATTGTACAGTATTATAAATAAATAAATGATGATGATGATTGTTGACCTTAGCCATGTTTTTAGTCTTGTGAGAGCACTGAAGCTTCTTTCAGCCTCAGCCAAGGATACTGGGATGACTGAAAGCAGCCCGACAATTGTCACGATAATAAATACTAGTTAATCTATAGCAGGGGCGGATCTAGAGAAATTTTTAAGGTGGCAAAGAAATCAAATGGGGTGGCAAAATCAAAGCCTTCTTTCCCCAAACACATGCAGGCGGTTACATATGGTTAAAATTATTTTTTGGAAAACAATCACATTGTTACATGCTTAAATTACACAAAATGTCAGAAATCTACACTGTCATGAACAAAAATTTAAACGGTACCGTGGCTCTGCGAGAAATCCGCCGTTACCAGAAATCCACCGAGCTGCTGATCCGCAAGCTGCCCTTCCAGCGCCTGGTCCGTGAGATCGCTCAGGACTTCAAGACCGACCTGCGCTTCCAGAGCTCTGCTGTCATGGCTCTGCAGGAGGCCAGCGAGGCTTACCTGGTCGGACTCTTCGAGGACACCAACCTGTGCTATACAAATACAGACCATTTACTATTAAGTTCTCAGTCTCCCAGAGTAGCATTTCTAATTTTGATTGAACTGTCAGAGAAAACAGCAGCCTCAAGCCAGGCTATTAGTTTACAGAGGCTGTTAAACTTATGTCTAATGTTGGTGACTCAAGAATGTCATATTTATATTAAACCTATATTTGCATTTCAAGTTATAAACATTTACTCAACATGTCGTTTTTTTTTTGTTGTTTTTTTTTGTTCTTTATTGTAAAAAATACTACTAGGATTTTAAGTTCTTTGTGTTTTCAGATCAGTAATACTAATGCAGTATGTCAGTGAAAAAAAACAGCTAAATTCAGTTGAGCTGAAAAGAATGATACCAAACAAGGCAAGGGGAAAAAATAAAATGAAACAATTTGAGGGTGAAATACAAACGTAAACTCAAAAGGAGTCAAAAATGGCCGGTTGTATTTCAGACCTCAGTGGGTTAATCCAACAAATCATGAAAAATTAG